AGCTTGCCGGGCTCTCCGAGAGGGGCAGAGGAATCGAACTTGGGTCGGCCATGTTGGCTGCGTGCAAGGCAAATGCCCTAGCGCTGTGCTATCGCTCCAGCCCATATATATATATATAAACTTAGATTCCCAGATCCAGAGAAGCAGAAAGTACCAATCAGGAAAAAAACCCAAGAAGAAAAATACCAAAACACAACAAAATTAAAACAGCACAAGCTAAAGATACTATCCTGAGAAAAGCAAGAACAAAATCAAGTATTACCTATAGGGGAATCTTCATTAAAAAAAAAAAATCACAGGGGACAGAGGCAAGCTGAGGGGCAGAAGGGAAACTGGGATACTGATGGGGACAAGGGTGACAGGATTGGTGTTGGAGCACTGTCCACCTGAAACTCCATTGTGAATATATTTGAAACTTTGCAATTCATGGTGTTTCAATTAAAAATAAAAAATCACAGCAAATATTTTGAATAAAACCCTACAGGCCAGAAAGGAAATGGTATGTTATCTTTAACACACTGAATAAAACAGGCATCCAAATAAATAATTCATCCAGCTAATTTACTGTTCAAATTTAATGGTGCAATATAAAATTCCACTGACAAAGAATAGCTAGAGAAGTTCTTGGTCACTAAACCAGCCCTGCAAGAGACACCAAATATCTCATTAAAAAAAAAAAAACTAAGGAAACACGGCTACATATAGAAATATCCCAACTCCATACAAAAGATGACATTATTAAGTTCCTTTCAATAATTTTAATGTCTATGGCCTGAACACACCAATCTCAGGCCAGAAAGATAGTACAGTGGCAGAGTGGCTTGACCAATGTACTAACTAGGGTTTGATCCCTGACACCATATAGGGTCCCCCAAGCTCCACCGGCAGTGATCCTTGAGTAAGAAGTATGAATATGAACATGTGATCCAAAGTGAAAGGCTAAAAAGCATTCATAAAGGCATATATATATATACACATATATAAAATTCAATGTAAAAAAGGTAATGAAAGATGAAAATGGACACTATATAATAAGCAAAAGGATCTATACACTAAAAAAATTTAACAACCATTAACATATACACCAAATGGCCATTAATATACTTAAGACAATTACTAGCAGCCCTGAAGGAAAACATGACGAGCAAAACAACAGCAGTAAGAGATTTTAATACCACGTTCTTACCAATGAATAGATCAACCAAAGAATCAACAAGGAAACAGTAGTTTTAAAGGAAAAGTAGGAAGAGGCGGGCTTAATAGACATATACAGAGACCAGCATGCAGCAAAAGCTGAGCATACATTATTTTCTAATATAGCTAGATCATTCTCAAGAATATACCACATGCTGGAACATAAAACAAGCTTTTTAAAAGATTCAAGAAAAGAGAAGTAATGTCAAGTTTCCTTGACATTATATTTCAATGCTCTGGAGCTGGAAATAAACTACAAAAGAAAGTTAGAAAAAACTCAGGCACTTGAAGTTGAACACACTACTGAACAACCATTGGGTAGAAGAGAAGTTAAAAATGAAATAAAGAGATTCTTGGATGACAAGAATGAAGACATGAGCTACCAGACCTTATGGGACACAGTAAAAGCTATACTAAAAGGGAAGCTCCTAACATCTGGGCATTCATAGGGAAATAAGAAAAGAAGCAAGTGAATGAGTAAACCTCACACCTCTAGAAAAAAAGAACAAAAAATGGAGTCTAAAGAAAGAAGGAGGGGCTGGAGAGATAGCACAGTGGGTAGGGCGTATGCCTTGCACACAGCTGACCCGGGTTCAATTCCTAACATCCCATGTGGTCCTCTGAGCACCACCAGGAGTAACTCCTGAGTGCAGAGCCAGGAGTAACCCCTATGCATTGCCAGGTGTGACCCAAAAAGCAAAAAAAAAAAAAAAAAAAAAAAAAGGAGGGGAAAAAATCTTAGTGGAAGTCAATAATATAAAAATCAACAACAATAAATAAGATGAATAATACCAAGAGTTGTTTTAAAGAATCAGTAAGAATGAACCATGGCTAGACTCACAAAGTTAAGAGACAGAAAACTCTAATCAGATCAGAACTGAAACAGGAGAAGTTACAACAGACACACCAAAAGTACAAGAGTGTATGAGATTACTACAAACTAGGGGTCCAGAGACAGTGGTTATGGAACTTCTGCCTTGCATGGAGGGAGAGAGAGAGGAAGAGAGGGAGAGGGAAGGAGGAGAGAAAGGGAGAGAGAGGAAGGGAGAGGGAGAAAAAGAAGGATCACTACAAAGGATGTTATACTACTAAACTGAAGAATCTAGGTAAACAAATTTCTAGTCTTAAACCTCCCAAGACTGAGGCTTGTGAGACTGTAGAAGGGTAGGGCATTTGCCTTGCATGCAGCCAATCTGGGTTTGATTCCCAGCACCCAATATAGTCTCCCAGCCCTGCCAGGAGTGATCCCTGAGCACAGAGCCAGGAGTAAACCTTGAGCATAGCTGGGTGTTACCCGAAATCCAAAAGGAAAAAGGAAAAGCAAAACAAACAAAATCCACCCAAGACTAAGCCAAGAGGAAGCAGGAACATCTGACTATACCAATTACCATCAGAGAAATCAGGATACTAATTAAAAATCTCCCCAAAAACAAAGTCTAGAAACAGAGGGGTTCAGAAAGAGTTCTTCCAAATTCTCAAAGAAATACCCATGTTCCTCAAGCTCTTCCAGAAAGCAGAGTAAGACTTATCAATATTTAAGAGACTAACATCAGGGGCCAGAGTGAAAGTACATCATGTAGGGTACTTGCCTTGCATGCAGCTGACCTGGGTTCAATCCCTGGCATCCCATTTGGTCCCCTGAGCACTGCCAAGAGTGATTCCTGAGTGAAGAGCCAGGAGTAACCCCTGAGCATTGCTGGGTGTAGCCCACCCCCAGCAAAAAAAAAAAAAAAAAAAAAGAGACTAATATCACTTTGATGGCAAAAGCTAACAGAAAACACACACACATATATGTATATGTATACACACACGTACATATGTGTATACATATACATATATACATAGATTAATATCCCTGATGAACAGATGTCAAGATCCTCAATAAACTCCTAGTGAATCAAATGCAACAATGTCTTAAGCAAAACACATATCATGATCATGCTGGCTGCAAGGATGGTTCAATATCTGCAAATCAATTAATGTGATATACCACTTTAATAAAATGAGACATATGCCATAAAATTATCTCTACAGATGCTAAGAGAAAGCATTTGTAAAGAGGTAAGAAGCATTCATAGTGAAAACATTCAGCAAAATGAACACTGAAGGAACTTATCTCAATATTGTAAAGATCATTCATATACAATAAACTCACAGCTAATATCCTTAATGGGGAAAAACTTCCCTCTCTGATCAGGCACAAGGAAAGGATTTATACTTTCACCACTACTATTCAACTTAGTATGGGAAGTCCTTGCCACAGAATTTAGATAAGAAAGGAAGTCAAGAGAATTCAAATTGGTAAAGAAGAAATTAAATTATCACTATTTGCAAATGGCATGGTATTATACACAGAAAACCCTAAGGACTTCAGTGAAAACTTGTAGAAACAATAAACTTATATACTAAGGCTATAAAGATTTTTACACAGAAATCTATTGTATTATTTTATGTAACAATGATGCAAAAGAGAAAAAAAATTCAAAACTATCCAATTTAGGCATGATGTCCTTGGGGGAGTGAGATGGGTACACTGGTGATGAGTGTGATGTCAGAATTATGTGTGTGAGAAACCATCATTAATAGTATGGTAAGCCAAAAAAATACATATATGTGTATATATTTTTTTAAATGTTAAAACTATCCAATTTATAATCATGTCCTCAAAAACTCAAGTATCTCGTAACCAACTTAATAAAGGAGGAGAAAGACCTATAATTTAGTGAAAATTATAAATCGCCTCTGATATAAATAACACACTAGGTAAAGAAAACCTACTTCTTGTTCATGGATTGAAAAAAAATCAAAACTGTTAAAATGAAAACCCTACCCAAAGTAATTTACAGATGCAATGCAATCCCCACCAAAATTTCCCACAGCATTTTTCAAGGACATAAAACAAATACTTCTAAAATTTATACGAAACCACAAAACTCCCATAATGACCAAAGCAATCCTAAGAAAAAAGAATATGGAAAGTACTGTATTCCCAGACTTTAATCTTTACTTTAGCGCCACAGTACTAAAAACTGCATGGTACTGGAACAAAGACAGACCCGCAAATCAATGGAATCGAACTGAGAGCCCAGATACAAACCCTCAGAATATATGGGCAGTGAATTTACAACCAAGGGATTAGGTGTATGAAATGAAGCAAGGATACCCACTCCAACAAATGGTGCTCTAAAAACTGAATAGCCAAAGAAATTAAATTGGACCTCTATCTCAACATAAACAAAGGGTGAGTCAATGGATTAAAGACCTTGGTATCAAACCTGTTTCTATACAACGAGGAAAACACAGGCAGGACTCTAAGATCTTGACCTCGGAGGAGTCTTCAAATGATATGACCGCATTGGCAAAGAAAACAAAAGCAAAGGTAAGCAAATGGGGTTAATTCAAAATAAATAAACAAACAAACAAACAAACAATAATTCTGCAATGCAAGAGAAATGGAGCCTAAATAAAAAGATACCCCACTGAATGGGGGAACATGTTTGTGTATCACACATCAAAGGGCTAATACTGAAGATAAAAAGCAATCTCAAAGCTCAACAACAACAAAAATAACCCCATCAAAAAAAAAGGGGGGAGGGGAGAGGAGATGAACAGGCTATTTGGCAAAGATAACATAAAGACAGCTGACAGGCATATGAAAAAATGCTCAGTCACTATCAGGGAAATGCAATCAAAATGACAACAGGACATCACCTCACACTAGTGAGATGGTCTATATCACAAAGGCCAGAAACAATAAATGCTGGCAAGGATGTGGTTTGCCAGAAAACGAGGAACTATTTTTTAATGCTGTTGAAGTCTATATAATGGCTTGTCTCATGGAGAAGAGAGCACCGGAATAGGTTAGACTGCCTTGCTATCGCAAGCGCAAATTGCGCCTGACACTTGATCATCTGCTACTGAGTGGCTTGCAACAAAAAACGAACTTTCCTCTGCTGCTAATGTGTGAGAAATCATCCCCCTGACAAAAAATTCCAAGATTGGGAGATTCCCCTGGGTGAAGTAGTTTAGGCCTTAGAATAGAATGAAGTTGCAAACATGCACCCAGGAAAGTACAGGAGAGCAGGAAAGAATAGGAGAGATGAGGAATAGTGACTGCAAACATGCGCACAGGAAGTGTGCCCAGAAAAGCAAACAATAAAACAGTTTAGGGTCTTTTAGCTGTGGAGGGCAACTAGGGCAAAAATTATATAGGAAATGATCTTGAAGTTACTCTATACTTTAAGGGTGCCTGCAGATTTGCTATGTGAAATACCCAGGTCTCAGCTCTTCATGTACTTACTGAATCTTGATGTGCTTATTAACTGTCCCTGTTACCTTAAACAAAGGTTCACTTGCTGGGAGCCACCGTGGGGGAGCGATGGCTACCCCAGCTTCGACAGTCCTTGTGTGTTTGTCTCCCATGACCAGCCCAACCAGGCAGGGGCTGAGGAGTAGTTTGGCAGGATGCACAATATACCAGTGATGGGGACCCCAAGCGACTACAGTGATTAGAAGACACAGCCTTCTGCAGTGGAACTGTTCCTTCAGCCTCTTTGGAAACAGTCTGGAGATTTCTCCAAAAATTAAGAACAGCTTCCACATGACTCTGCAGTTCCACTCCTGGCATCAACCCCATGTACACAAAAACTTTAATCCAAAAGGACATATACACACCTATGTTTATCACAGCATTGGTAATCAGCCAAGATCAGGAAACAACCTGTGTGCCTAATAGGGCACAAGGGGATACTGTGAATAATTCTATGCCCAAAAGAACCCCCAAGAGTGAAACAGAAAATGTGAACATTAGAGAAATTCAATTCCTATTTCAAAATGTTCCTATGAGTGGATAAAGAAGCTGTGGCCTATGCACACAATGGGATACTATGAGTGGTACCACATTTTGAGGAAATGTGCAACTTTCTGCATACAGAAGAGACTATGCTAAGTGAAGTGAGGCAAAAAGAATGACAGACACCAGACGATCTCACTCATTTGCAGAGCATAGAGAACTAACTCTAGGGCTTAGATAATCCTCAATAGAAACAACACTGAGATACCGCAAGCTGCGTGTGATCTGAGGGCTCTGAGATGAGGGGTGGAGAAGGGAACTTGAGATAAAGGGGAAGGGAGTCTGGCACTCTGGGGGTAGGGATGGTGTAGAAGCTCTGCAAGAACAAAACCGTAACACTGGAACTAGGGCAAAAAAAAAATTAACACATGAAACAAAAGACAGAATTAAAAACAGATTAAACTAAAAAAATCCACTCAGTAGAAAAACGTACAAAAAGTCAGTTATATGACTGTCATTTCTCTAATACTAGTCTTCCAACTGGCAGACTTTATGTTACTTTCAAATATACAAGAATCATGTATCAAGATAAATCACAATGCTACGCCATGAAACATTTGAAAGGATAGATCGGAATGTAACTCAATGATAGAGCACTTGTCTGGCATGTGTGAGGCCCTGGATTGGATTCCCAACACGGCATGGTCCCCTGAGCACCATGGGAGTGACCACTGAGCACTGAGTTGGGAGTAGTCCCTAAGCACAACCAGGTATGGCCCAAAAAACCAAACCAAACAAACAAAAAAGCATTTAAATGGATTGAAATGCATAATGAATTGTCTATGCCAACAAAATAAGAAATCAATCCCATGATAACTAAAAAATCTTCAGTGGTTTGGAAACAGACACATTTACAGTAAAATTAGATGTTCAAAATGAATTCTGCAGGGGAAATGAGAATTATTTTGAAATTTTAATGAAAATGTAATATAAAAACAACTGTGAAATTAATCAAAAACAATAATGTGAACTATAAAATTAATCAAAATCAAGATGTAAACTTCTACCTTAAGAAGCCAGAAAAAAAGTAAATCACATCCAAAGTATACCATGGGGAAGAAACAAAGATAACTACAGAAATTAGTGAAACATAGAATCAACAGTAGAGGAAAATCAGTAAAACCAATTATTTCTTTAAGCATTGCACTGTCCTTTCATTGTTCATCGATTTGCTCGAGTGGATCCAGTAACGTCTCCATTGTGAGACTTGCTGTTACTGTGTTTGGCACACTGCGTATGAATAAAAGTGATAAGCTCCCACCTAAGCTGATTACACAAAGATGGTATAAATTACTATTGTAAGAACAGAAAAGAATGTGTGACTAGAGCTTTTGCAGCCATTAAAAGGAGATCAAGGGGACATTGTGAATAATTTTATGCTCCAAAGAACCCCCAAGTGTAAAACTGAAAATCTGAACATTCGAGAAATTCAATTTCTATTTCAAAATGTTCCCACAAAAAGAACTCCAACTCTAAAAGGCTTCACTGATGAATTACGTTAACTTTTCAGGATAAGAAGAGAGCAGTGTCACACTGGGCTAGCCTGAAAGAGAAAAATCCATTTTCCGTTTCCTTTTTCCAAGAACTGCCCAGTTCTCAGTACTAAAAATGCACAGAAGGCACATTTCTGCAACGCGAAGGAACCTAAATTTCACTTGCAAACCCGACTGCAGATTCTTTTTACCAGACCACAAGCACAATGATCTGAGGTGGTTTTCATCATCCTTCTCTTTCCAAAAGGGAGGCTGATCCACTCATAACCATGTTCCTCTTCCCAGACTAACTTCAGAACTATCCATGAGGGCTGTGGCATTCCAGGAGTCACAGGGCACTTTATGAATATTCTACGCCTATGACTCAACTGTATGCCAGGTATGTGATTCATATACTATCCCTATTGCATTCTTAAAACTTGGTCACTTTATTTAGCCATTTTAATAGTCCCTATGATTGAGGTTACCTCAGGATGTCATTAAAATAGTTCTAAAAACCAAGATTTCTTTTCATTTTGGGAAGCTAACATAAGTGCAAAAGAGTCCTGGTCCAACTCTGGCGATGTCCAGGATCTACTAGGATCATACTGGAGCTTGGGAGGGGTTGGAGGGTGGCAGAGAACAAAACTGTGGCACTGAAAATTAAACCCATGCCTCACACATCTATCTACTACCACCTGAGCCAAAGTCTCAGTCCCAAAATCCAGATTTTAAAATACACCCACCTCAATGACTTCAGAAATGATCCCTAAGAGAAACTGATACAAGCATGCCTATCATTAATGGTAATGGTTTCTGTAATGGTCTTTACTGAATACTGGATTTATTTTTTATTTTTTTATTTTTAGTGAAGCAAGACAGCTTTTTATCAAATGAAACTTAGACGTGAAGAGGGGAGAGAAGGAAAGGAATCCGTGTTCAAGAGACCACAAACCTGAAAGAGCAAGCAAGCAAAGAGACACAGAAACGTTCAAGCAAGATACATGTTCAAGGGAGAACATTGAGGAGCAAGCCTACTGGCACTGTTTTTATAAAACTGCCAGTACAGCAAAAATAATGTAAAAATCGCTTTTGGGGACTTAATGAACTATGGTGAAGCCAATGATGACTGATCTAGTGTGACTTTTTGCATAAGGCCAAATAATTTATTTTGAAAACAATGAAAAATATGTTAAAAGGAAGAATACATGTCATGGAGAAAAATCTAAAGTAAACTGTGAACTAAAGTGTCACTGAAGAACATCTGTTGTAACAAAATGTCCTAATCAGGTAGGAAATACTGATAATTAAGGAGTCTTACGCATGTACAGGGCATATGCAAAATTTCTATACCTTCACTCAAATTTACACTGACTCTAAAACTGCTTTAAAATATTCTGCTAAAAACAAACAGGGAAAAAAGTATACATCAATAGAGATCGATCGATTGCAAAATACAGAGCCTCACTTATCTGCCATGTTTTAGAAATCATTTTGCACACAGATCTTTATTTGAGTAACAAAAATTTGCTGTCATCTTGGTTTATAAACTTTTCTCTTGCCCATTCTGTTGTTGGTACTTACTCTAAAGATCAACTGTACAATTAAATGAAAGCATTTTTATGGGAAAGACAAGGTAGTCAGGTCAAATTTTTTGGGAACTGAGTAGAAACAGAAAATTAATGTGGACTTTGATTTGGGTTTAACACAGTTTGGAAATTTCTTCCAAATACTGTGGCTTTAAACAAAAGAGGTCAAAAAGGGCCTTTTTTAAGGAAGGCCTCCTACCCCACCCCTATTATTAAGACTCTTCCCCTAGAAATATCTAGGGTTCTCTGAATACCATTTACACCTGTTTGGCTAATCTATGAGAACTCCCTATTCAGAAAATTATACAAAGACATGTAAATCACCACCAGGGAAAAATTTCACTTACCAATCGAGCTATAGACACTCTAAATGTAGGGCATGCCATATGGAATCGGGGAATGGCAACATTAAAAATCTTGTCTTTAAAGCAAAGAAAATGGAAGGTATAATATCCCTCCATATATCCTGATGTTGTAGAGAATGTGGTACAACTTGTGTATTCATATACACGCCCTGGGCTGATAATTGGAAATTCACCTGCAGAGAAAACAGTTAACAATAAACCAAAATATAAAACTGCTTTACTTTACAGCAAAAGTATTTAAAATAAATGTGTAATCAGAAAACTAGTCTAAAAGGAAATATCACAAAATACTAACAGAAGAAAATGAGGATATTATATATGTTTTTTTATTCACCAGATTCTTGTGGGGGGGAGGGGGTGGTGATGGGGGGAGGGTAGAAAAACCAGTAGATTTAAAAAAATTCCCTGAACAGAATATTTCCTATTCTGTTATGTGGCATGTTATGAGACACTGCAGATACCATCTCGAACACATGGGTAATTTTTTTTAAATTGTCAAAACTAGTTCTAACAAATATGGCAATATTTAAAAAAAAAAAAAGATGGGGCTAGAGAGAAAGGAGAGGGGTTAAGGCACTCGCCTTGCATGTAGCTGACCCCAGTAAGAGTCCAGGACCATGTATGATTCTCTGAGCACAGAGCCAGGAGCA